AAAGGAAAGAGCTCTGGCCAGGCAGCCTCATTCAGGCACTCGCATGCTAGCGGCAGCGCTGCTGGAGCAAGAGCTCGCGGCTGCTGGCTGGCGCTGAGAGGCGAGGTGCAGCACGTGCGGTCGTGCAGGGAAGAAGGGTGCTGCTGAGGGCAGCGCCATAGCCCAGCCACCATAGCTGGTGGGCTTGGACTACAGTGAGGCGCAGGGGTGGTATTCGGGTGAAACAGAGGACAGACGTGGGTGTAGTCAGGGGATAGGTGAAGGATGATGATGATGATGATGATGATGATGTGAGGGCACATACCTTGTGTTGGCGATGGTCTGCATGGGCGACATCTTCAAGTACTTCGGGCTGCCGCTGATGTCAACAGTTGCATTGTCATTTCGTAGTCTGTAGTAGCTGGACTAGGCTGGGCGCTGAGCGCCAAGTGAGAGTGTGAAGGGACTGGACTCTTGTGTTGGGAGGAGAGAGTATGCTCTCCATGAACATTGGTTTTCAGTGCTACGAACCTCCATTGGTGTATTATTGGTGCAATGCTGCTCTCTGGACACGGTGTGACTATCTGGCTTTCAATGTGATGGTGTGATCTGGAATTGTCATCTCGCTGTTGCTTATTTCCCTTGCAATTTGGTATCAGAGCTGGTTCATATTGCGCTTTATTGGTTCTTCGCAATAGTTGTTGGTGCTTCGCATGAGGTGTGGGGCAGTGATAAGGCATTGGCATTGAACATTGGGCGGCCCAGGGTGAAGTGGGCGTGCCAGGGAGCTATGTGGTGACATACGGGGTTTATGCTGGATGATGAGAGCTCGCTGATGTGGCATATTAAGCCGGGGTGGAACCGCATTCTGCTGTTGGTTGTGCCGAGGCAAAGACCGGTCATCATAAGTGCACATCAGGTTGCCGGTGAGAAATCTGTGGTTGGGGGCAGCATTTATGAGGTACGTTGCTCTCTTCCTTATCTACCCTCTTCGTTACTTCTTACCGTGAGGAAGTGAGTTCTGTCTTGAGAGTCCTCTCGATGTGAGGTGTCGCGAGCGCTCAACCTTGAGAGTCAACATTCTTCCTGGGCAGCAAGCTGGTGGGAGACGGGCGAAGCCTCTGAAGGGCCCTGGACGAAGCACTCGGGTCACGGTCACCATGCCAACCCGCTGGGACTAGTACATGCATGCTTTGCCGCAAGTCCTTGGTTCTGTTGCTTGCGCAATAGAGGTCATGCAGGCCATGCCAACCCCTATGGACAGACGCTTTCCATACCATCTTTAAACATTTATGGCTGGGGACTCGGATTTGAATCTGGCTGTGATCGTCGTCCTGTCTGCGACGTTAAATAATTCCTGAGGAGATGGGGGCTCTCCTTAAATCCCTCCTGATCAGCCAGATCAACCGGGTGTAAGGCTCGTTGCATGCGAGGGTAAATAAAAGTGCAGGGGCTGGCATGTTCGGCGTTGACTTGGGGCACAGGGGTGGGCCGGATTGCACACCTTCAGACACGCTGCTCAATCAGATGCTCAGGACGTCGACACAAAAAGACCACTCAAGAAGGATACAGGGGGAGGGGGGATTCCGGTGACTGTTCACAGTGGCAATCAACAATCAATCTGCCATCCAGTATACATCTCCAGCAAGAGATGTTATTTCTATCTTTGATTAGTTAGTTGTTACACACTTTGCTGACAACTGACAGACAACTACAGACAGACTAGACTCTTTGTTGTAAGGCGATCTGTATTAGACTAATCTAAAAATGGATGTGATATATCCTGTAGGACCTGACATTAGTTGTGACTATATCACCTAATTGTTTCTGTTCCAGCCGACCGATAATAGTTGTATATCACAGGCGGTTGTGTGTCACGCTAAGGTCGGATTCAGTGTGAGTTCTAGTTTAGATCACACACACCGTAGCTCATGAGTGAAGACAACAGCAAGGCGGAGCAAAGGCAAGTGCAACCCATTAGGACCACACGGAGAACTGCTCTTAGTCAACGTTTGACTTTCTTGGAGTTAGGTCCAAGAGAGGAGAGGAGGCTACGAAGGGAAGCTAGGGAGAGGGCAGCAGCAAGGAGGAATTGGGATGCAGCAGCCAGCTTAGCGGCTGCGATGGCTACCGTCTCTTCGACATCGCAGTCCACCTCCCAGTCTTCTTCGTCAGGAGCTGGACAGGGTGGATCGGGTGCAGTTAGTCAGTCTATTGGCTTGCAAGTCAGCCAACAGGTTCCACTCACACCTGAGGACATAGAAATCCAAAAAGCGGAAGAACTTCAGGATGAGTTACGGCCGCAGTTGGACGAAGCATCAGAGAGGAGAAGAAAAGCAATCATGAGGAAGGCCAGATTAGAGAGTAGGGTAGAGGCACTAGGCAGACTAGAGGACCTAGATGAGGCGAGATTAGAGCCTGTTGGACGCGTGCTGCGTAATGTTGTGCTATCCGTAGAAGAAGCGCAGACAGTTCAACAAGAACTGCTGACTGATCTAGTGGCAGGTCAGAAATGAATTCTGGATGCACTCCAGGTTCCTCGTCCAGTGATGAGGCAGCCACAGTTTGTTGTAGTTCCCCCTACGGGTGCGGGTCCTTCAACGATGCCGCGACCCACGAGACAACCCTTTTCTCCTATGTTTGGCATGCCCCCTCCTGGTGGTGTAGGAGTAGCTAGTGGTCCAGTTCAAAGAGTCTCAGCCGTACCATCTACAACAGTGGTCACTACAGTCCCACTGTCAAGCCAGACCCAGGTTAGTGTGCAACAGCCTGTCTCAGTGGCTATCCAGTCGCTGCAGCAAGCCCCTGGGCCCATGCAGCCTATGCAGTGGATGCCTAAGATACCTTTGATGAGTCCTAAGCCCTTCTTTGGTGACAGGAAGAAGGAAGAGGACTTAGACACCTGGGTGAGAACTGTGCCTACTTATGTGAGGCACAAGCTCACAAGGCCAGAGCAAGAAGTTGTTGTGGCTGCCTCCTTTCTAGAGGGGTCAGCAGCCCGCTGGTTGAATGGCTTAGTACAGCAACAGGGCTACGGTCAGGATTTCGATGCCTGGGCTCAGGCCCAGACATTGGAACAGTTCGTACGGTCTGTCTACAACAGGTGGCATGACCCGCAAGGGGCTCAAAAGGCCACCGATGCTATCAACAATCTTTGTGCCCGTAGGTTCAAGGATGTTAGAGAGCTCACGGATACCATAGAGCGTCTACTCATGGTACCTGGTGTGCGCTTTGACCAGCAGGTTCTCCTGACGGATTATCTAAGGTGCCTACCTGCAGAGGTAAGGACCAAGCTGGTTGATGAGGCCTATGTCGAACAACATGCCTTCGCTACTTTTAGTAAGAAAGCTCTGGACATAGAGGCAAAGCTTGGATCTGCGCATAAGGCATCTCATGATGGTAGGAAGAGACTGCCCCAAGACTGGAAGAAGAAGGGTCAGTTAATGTTCGTTGACCACGATGGTCAAACGGCTGAGATTGACGATTTCCCAGACCTTGGGGAGTTGACAGAGCAGGATGGGGCTAGTGAGACTTCAGATGGTGGAGTCGTGGCACCCATCAAAGAAAAGGCTAGGGGGACCGGGAAAAAGAAGGTAGTACGGTCCACGGGTCAAGGAGACCAAGGGACACCCGCATGTGTGAAGATTGGTTTGGATTACGAGGTGTGGAGGGATCGAGTTGCCAGGGGCACATGTATGAACTGTGGCAATTATGGCCACACGTCACGAACCTGCCGAGGCAAAAAGGTCACAACCAAGGTAGCCTCACCAACAGTGGTGGACTTATCTTCGAATCCTGGGAGTGCTTCTGCGAGCAGCTCACAGGGAAACACCTCGGGCCAGTAGGAGTGTTAGCCGCTCTTACTCGTGCTGAAGTGGTAACGTTGCCTTCCCCACTTCAGGCGTTGGCCAAGGCTAGAGACCCACACATCGCCCCGCAGACACATTCAGACCCACCGACGCTCTGTTCGAGAGATGTGTCTGAGGCCCTAGAAGAGTTAGAGACTAAGTGGTCAGGGAAGGACCCCAGGGACTCTTGGGCGATGATCAGTAGAGGTCCGAAGGGTGAACATTTCGTGGTAGAAGTAGATGTAGGTGGCCGCAAGGTTGGCGCCTTCGCAGACATAGGCTCTACACGAAATTTCATCAGTCATGCTTGTGTGGATAGATTGCGCTTAGGGGACTAAGTGCAACGGCTTAGCAGAAGTGTAGCTTCTACGCTAGCCAACAAGCACCAAATGGTTGTCAAAGACTATGTCAAGGACGTAGCCTGCACCTTCTCCTATGGAGGAGGGGAAGTGATCCACAAGATCTCCTTCCTTGTGAGCGACGAACTGCCATTCGATATGCTACTAGGCATGTACGACCTCAAAGTCTCGCAACCTCAGTTTGACTGGGATAGAAAGGTTTTGATCCACAAATTGCCCAATGGTAGAACAGTTAGATTGCAGAAGTATAAAGCTAGCAGTTTAATAGAAAACTACGGGTGTATGTGCGTTTCATCCTTCTATAACTATTATAAGTAGAATCGAGAGGAAGGCATGTATCTCTCTGAGAAAGGGGAAGCTGTTAAAACACCCTCAGAGATAGAAAGAGTCGTCGCACAATATTCAGACCTTTTTTAGGAGCCCACAGGCGTGGTGGATAGGGAGGTTGTACATGCGATAGAGGTTGTCCCAGGTAGCAAGGTGCCTAGAGGACGAATCTATAGGATGTATCCCGCGGAGTTAGATGAGCTTCGCCGCCAGCTCAAGGAGCTCACAGAGAAGGGATGGATACGGCCTAGTACCTCCCCTTATGGTGCGCCAGTCTTATTTGTCCCAAAGAAAGGAGGTCCATTAAGGATGTGCATTAACTATAGGGGCCTCAATGCCATCATCGTTAAGAACGCGGAGCCCCTACCCCGCATTGACAACCTCTTGGATAGAGTGCAGGGATGCCGGTACTTCACAAAGATAGATCTGAAGTCCGGATACCATCAAATTGTCGTTAGGCCTAAGGACCAGCACAAAACCGCATTTCAGACCAGGTACGGTCTGTACGAGTTTGTGGTGATGCCTTTTGGCCTATGTAATGCACCTGGTACATTTCAGCACACGATGAACAAGATATTTCATGAGTACTTGGACAAGTTTATCGTCGTGTACCTCGACGATATTCTTATCTTTAGTAGGACTGTAGAGGAGCATGCTGGGCATTTGAAAACAGTGCTAGGTCTCCTAAGACAGCACCAGTATAAGGTAAACTTCGATAAATGCGAGTTTGGTCGCACCAAGATCTTGTACTTGGGTCATGAAATTTCAGCAGATGGATTGAGGCCGGAAGATGCAAAGGTGGCCAACATACATGACTAGCCTAGACCTCAGACTGTTACTAAGGTCAGATCGTTTTTGGGGATGACGGATTATTATCGTCCGTTTGTGAAGAACTATAGTACTATAGCTTCCCCATTAACAGATCTAACTCGACTTGATACCCCTTGGGAGTGGACTGAAGAGTGTGAAGCAAGCTTCAAGAAATTGAAGTATGCTCTGATACACTACGAAGTTCTCAAACTTCCGGATTCTGACAAGCCATTCATTGTGACCACAGACGCTAGCCAATATGGCATAGGTGCGGTCCTTACGCAACAGGAAGAGCCCAAGTTGAGACCGATTGAGTATATGAGCAAGAAGGTGCCATCTTAAAAGTTAGCTAAGTCCACGTATGAGAGAGAGCTCTATGCACTATACAAAGCGCTAGTTCATTGGAGACACTACCTCCTAGGAAGATTCTTCTATTTGAGGTCTGACCATGAGACTTTGCGCTGGATTAAGACACAGCCTGTGTTGTCAAACGCACTCAAGAGATGAATTCAAGTGATAGACATGTATGACTATCAACTTGATCCTATCAAGGGTACGTACAACAAAGTGGCTGATGCACTATCAAGAAGGGCAGATTATTTGGGCGCGATAGTCACCGAGTTCGGCATATCGGACGACCTCACTCGATCGCTGGTGGAAGCCTATCACAGACATCCAGTTATGTCAGAGATCATGCGTAGATTCCAAGCAAAGGACAAAAAGACTTTGGACGAATTTACGATGGTAGATGGCTTGCTGTTTCTCGAGAAGGCAGGGAATAAAAGACTATGTGTTGCTAATAGTGAGCCTTTGCGTAGTTTATTTTTAGGAGAATGTCATGATGCAACTGGTCATTTTGGCTATAGAAAGACATCAACAAACTTAGTGCAGAGATTTTGGTGGCCTTCTATGTTGGAAGATGCAAAACGTTATGTTGAAACCTGCCAGGTTTGTCAAAGGGACAAACCAAGGACTCAGGCTCCGTTTGGGTTGATCAAACCCTTGCCGATCCCTGAAGGACCAGGCCAAAGTGTGTCCATGGATTTCATGGATACCCTTGTGACCAGCAGGTCAGGAAAGAGACACATCTTTGTCATAGTGGACCGTTTTATCAAGTACGCCAGACTGATCGCCATGCCAGAAACAGCCAAAACTGACTACGTCATCAAACTGTTTATGGATAATTGGGTACGTGATTTTGGGTTGCCTACGTTCATCATTAGTAATAGGGATGTGAGATTCACGAGTGAACTTTGGCAGTCAACAGCTGAACAGATGGGCTCCAAACTCCAAATGACCTCAGGGAATCACCCTGAGTCAAATGGCCAGGCAGAACAGATGAACCGGGTATTACAACACCTGCTTCGGCATTACATTAAGCCAAGTCAGGATGACTGGGACAAGAAGTTACCGCTCGTCGCCAGCTTGTACAACAATGCTGCGCACAATACTACCGGTATGACTCCCAACCAGTTACATCTTGGTTGGAAGCCCAGAACTGCCCTTGACTTTCTGCTACCAGAAAGACAATCCACTGCAGCACCTGGCAGCATAGACTTTGCTGTCCAATATGAACAGATGCTGCAGCAGGCTGTTGAACATATTAAGAAGTCTCAGGATGCTATGATCGCATTCGAGAATAAGCATAGACAGCCCTCTAACTTTCAGGTAGGTGATAGAGTCTGGGTAAAGTCATCTGAACTAGGTCAGGAGATGGGGATATCTAGAAAACTGATGCCGCAGTATTTTGGGCCCTGGGAGATCTTGGACATTGTAGGGGATCAACCGGATGGGCCTTCATACGTGATCCGTATTCCTGCACACCTACGCACCTACCCAATGTTTCATGCCTCCAAGCTGGCACCTTTCGCTGCCACTGATTAGTTCCCTTCCAGAAGATCAATGCTGCCCCCAACCATGGATGGCGAAATGGACATTGACCAGATCGTCGAGCATCGAGTGATGCCTGTTCCTCGACCATCAGGCAGAGGGCGACCTCCTAAACCGAGAATGCAGTATCGTGTGAGCTTCATAATCATCTGGATCCTAAAGAAGACCGGTGGTTCACACGAGAAGAACTCATGAGAACAGCACCTCAAGTCATTGCAGGTTATGAAAGAGCACTCAAGGGGAAGATGCCTGCAGAATAAGAGACTTCTCAAAGGACTCACGAAGTAAAGGAGGAGGGAATGCGAGGATCAGGGTCCTCGGTAGGCCTATGGGGCCCTGTTTGCAGCATTACCGGCCCTAAGTGAAGGCGGAGGTGCCCGCCCTAAGTGAAGGCGGGCCTGGCTTTTTGCAAGAGGCCCTCGACTGTCAATTTCATATTTGGGGTCCAGGCAGTTGCGACGCGCCAGTTGGTTGAAAGAAACACAGGCCGAGCAACAAAGACATTTCCACGGCCTTCCGGGCCTTTCCAAAGAATGCAGGCCCTGGGCGTGATTCACAGCCTCATACAGAGACAGTTGGGTGCCCAACCGCACTAGTCCCAGCAGCCAAGTAGCTGCTGCATCCAGGCAGCCTCCTGGGGCCTTCCGGAAGCTTCTGGGCCCAGGCCAGCCCAGCCAGGCGGCGCGAGCAGGCCAGTTCTTTCCATAAAGGAAAGAGCTCTGGCCAGGCAGCCTCATTCAG